CTCATCTGAACTCAGGGGCTGGCAAGGAAACTGAATTAGCTAAAAACTGTTTCCAGAAACAAACTGTCTTGCATTTTCTGTCAAAAGTGTTATTTTCATATGAGAATATAGTTCAGTTACATGCATTTTATTCTTTACAGAAAATGCATAGTACAACTACCTGAAATTTAAGCAGCAGTTTCACCCAATGATACTTAGCTCTCAAACTCATCCGTAAAACCAGTTTGTTTTTTTTCTTTATTGAAAGTACTGTAGAAGTTCTCAGATATATTTTCAAGTGTGGTAAGAGGGAAGCGAGTAATTTGAAAACGGAAGCTTCATTACTTCTTCACAAGCACGCTTCGACTCTCCCACTATTATTAAGAAAGAATCTAGTGAAAAGGTGGTAGACTACTCCTAAACAAGACTGCAAGTGATTCATAACAATACTTGAATACCAACACCTCTAACCTCTCACCTTAGTAACACAACCAAGATTTTACTTACATTATTATCTATTGTCTCCTTTAGTCTTGTGAGATCTTCCATGGCAGCATCCCAATTCTGCATCAGAATTTCAGATGCCAGTTTTCCCCACAGAGAACTCAAAGCATTTCTGTCTGTTGCTGGAACCTGTTTTCAACAACAGCAAAGTCATACTCTCCGTATTTTTTTTTTTTTTAACAAAAAGTAAATCATAACTAAAAAATACAAAAAATATTTACTGGTATTTTTAATTTACAAGGTAACAAATTTGCATGGTCCTATCTTCCCAAATTTTTAAAAGCAGCAATTTAGGTACAGAAGAAGAAACAAACAGCAGTACAGCTTCTAAAGTATAAGCTAGAAAATCCTGTCAGAGACAGGCAAAGCTCCATGCTGCTGCAGTTTAAGTTAAAAAAAAAAAAAAAAGAAAAAAAATAAGTATCTGAGCACCAGATGACACACAATTTATTTTTTTTAAACAGCATATAAAAATGCTTCTGAACTGCTAAAACAAGGTTATTACAAAGCAAGTTCCATAAAGAATTCATGGACAGGAGGTAGCCACCTTAAACCTAGTATTCAAAGTTCTTTCTGCTAAGGCTGTGCCAAAAAGCATACTTCTTATAGAAATGTCCAGTGAAACAGCAACTTTGTAGTAGTTCTATTTCCTGGAAGGGTACTCCTAAGGTCACGCTGTGTTAGTTTTACACAGGAATGAATTACACTAGGTCGTTCACAGTGTCAAATTCTGTTCTCAGATCAGTTACAATAGTTCCTTCATAGGTTAGGTTTCATCACACAACTTAAAACAGAAGTCCTACACCAAGCTATTACCAGCAAAAAAACAATACTTCACTTTTGGAAATTAGTTTTTTGACATAAACCAACATAATGCTAAGCTCAGAATTAAAGCACAAAGAATTAGGGACAGTTGCATACAAACCTACATTAGTAATTTATTTCCCCTCTCAGCACATGGAACACACCTGACAATAACACTAGAAATAATACAGAATAACTCAAGTTTTATCATAAACATTTAGACTAAGAATTCAACTCATTCTTACTTTAAACCCTGTTCTGATTAAAGATGTATTTCCCAATTTTGCTTCTTTAATTACAGTAAATTACAGGAATTACTGTTTCTTACTCTAGCAGCATTTCAGAAAGCTTAGGATATTTAGATGAGACTAAAAATTAGACAGTAAGAAACAAACCTCAACACAGGAGCCACTACATATTTTCAGCAATCACTCTTATCCATGAGATACACACAGTTTAGAAGTCATTATCTTCCAGGCAACCAAGGTGTCAATTTAGCAGATACTTTTAATTGAGGAGCTTCAGATGCACTGTGCTGGTTCCAAATCATGTAATTACAGTTAGCTAGTCACAATAACTGCATTTAGATAGTGCAGTTGTTCTAGCTACAGTATCTGGATTTTCAAGCAGTTACCTTACACTTCCATTTCTTCGTAAAACGACACATTCACTGACCACGAATAATGAATTTATTGTGTTGAGATTCTTACAAGACACTACATATTCATTCTCAAAATCCACTCCATTAACAAATGATATGAATTACAAGAACATGAAAAGAGTTGCTTCAGAGACGATGGATCTGGTTCTACAATTTTCATCTAACCTGTTTACATTTCCTAGGCAGATGACTTATACTCTTAAATCTGTCACAAAACTCAAGAGAAGACAGATGTGAGTTCAGATAATAAGCTGGGAGTTTACCATTACCACCAATTATGTTCAATCCACCTGCATGCTTTTCAATACTGTTGATAACGTCTGTGCACAAAAACAAGTATTTATTTTTGCTCTTTTAATATTTTTCCAGGATACATTTATAGGGAGGAAAGAAGAAGTATTCCGTAAGTAAATCTTACCACTAGACCTACAAATGTAAAGAACAGTTCTGAATTCAGCATGAAAATAACAGAATTGCTGGACAATAGTCAGTAATGATTATTAACCACTATTTTCAGCTTTTCTTTGGAGCACAGCAATAGGCTCCAAAAAGCTCAAAAGTATTGTATTTTAGGAATTAATACAAACAACTTAGTGGTCTAAGTATTTCATGGAAAAAAACCCAAACCAACCATAAAACAAAACCCAAACACACAACCCAAAACTTACCAGAACCCTAAAGAAGTAGAGATACTCTGCAGCTCCTGAGTAATTACCACATTCATACTGGAATTTTGCATACCTGTAGAGTGTATCTAGGTACTCCTGCCTAAACTGAAAAGGAATACAAAAAAGCTTTTCTTCACTAGGAAAAACAAAACAATACCGTTACAAGCCAAGTTTAATAGTAAAGTAACCTTTGCAGTCTTTAGGTTCATTAAAAGAGACTGTACGCAGCAAAAACAATAGGAAACTATCACACTCTTAATCCATGCCGTCGAATTAAAGCTTACACCAATACTGGAAAATAGGTGAAATTCTGTGTTACAAAGTAAAGCACATCCTAGTTACAAGGATGCAGTTAACATTAGGCTCCAGCTTTATTTTTGTTTATATAAAAAGTTCAAAGGCAAATAAAACATGTTACCATTAGGAATTCTCCCTATTAGTTACATTGACATGAGACAGGCCAAAATGCTAGTCCATAATTACTCAGAGATGTTGGCTGTACAAGAGGTTGGATGGAGATATTTAGAACTGAATTCTAACAGATGAAAGAATTAAACCACTTACACCATGCTTCTCAGCTAAATAGTCAAACAGCATCCGACCATCCCTATAATAAAAACATAAAAACTGCTGTTTTTACATAACAAACTGATTGTCAACATGCTACACAACACAACGTTTAGCTGTCAAAGTACCCAAATACAGTATAAAGCATTGCTCCTCCACTTGTGCAAAAGCAACTGCAGAAACAGAGCCAACTATTCCTCAAGTATCACAGAGAAGTTTGAAAATCTTAAAACTATAATTATTGCAAATAAAGAATGCCACCTGCAACAATAACTAGACTTAAGAAAGGGTGGGAGGTTGTTTTAAATTTGATGGCATCCTTAGCTTTCAGTATGAAAGTTAAATTCTGACTTAGATATCTTCCCACTCATCTTCTAATTCCACAGTATTTACTCTAGCCAAGCAGTTTTAATTTAACAGGAGACAGGGGAGAAAAAAAAGTGGCAAAGACTAAAGTAATACAGAATTAGAAAGTAAACTTATCCAATTTAGCACTGGGACACAGTGGTTCACAAGAACACCTCTATCACAGCAAGTGCCTGCAGAATGCACAACTATAAACAACAATCATACTTAATAATTTCTAAACATTGAATCACACATGATCACATTTCTGAATTTTTTATATTCAACATGGATAATAAAAGGACAAGCAATATTATCTAGATCAAAGGAAGGTTCAAGCCTCCAGTAGACAAGCATAAAATTATCTACCACCACTAAGTCTTATATTAATGACCACAGGACTTTGGATATCTGTGGTATTTTTAAACAATAGTTAACTTGGTGAGTAATTTTTTTATCCAGTATCTGCAATGGATCTTGATCAGCTCTCAGAGTGAGATTTTAGCACACCAGCTTTTCAATGCAATAAGAACTCAATTCAAATTCTGCTGCAGCCATCTGGAAACAAGAACCACAGTTGAATTCATATATATAGTTGAATTCACATTCATAAATGGAAAGTATTTTCAATTTGTTACTTGGATTATATGGATTGCCTTTGTACAATACAGAAAGAATTAATGACTTGTTTTTTTAATCTCTAGCCCCCTGCCACCCTTGGCATGCTTCTATACCTGTAGCTACCCTCCACTTCATCTCTTCTGTGCATTCAGTCATGCGGTAAAGATGACTTGGACAATTCAGGGAACTATGATATTTGACAAAACATGTACCCATGATTTAACTGAAGAGTAGAGCACCAAGCTATAAATTCCTCTTGGGACAAAGATACAGTGAAGCATATGTAGGGGAAAATTCCCGTTTACTTTGAAATTAACGACTGCAAAGCTGTGAGTTTGTTTAATTAGAACTTATGGTACAAGATTCTACAGGGAAATGGCACGTTGCCAAGGTAGCCAAGAATGACAATCCTCAGTAATACTTGTAGAAGCAATGAAATAATCTCATGTGTTTCTTCCAGCGGAACATACTTCAAGGATGAGGAATACTAACTATTCCTCCATCATTTTAAAGTCAATGTCCTCCCACAGCTGCACAGAAAAAAAGTTAAATGTTCTGTCTTATTCTTGAAAGAACTTCCATTTGCAAAGTCTCCTTCACACACACCATCTTCTATCATTTCTCAGACTTTCATGTTCCAACCAGCACTGTCATGGATAAAAAAAACGTGATCTAAAGCCCTGATAACTCGTAGCTCTAAATTTGATACAGATTCCAAATCACCAGCAGAAATTCAGAAAAAGTAAAAAAAAAAAAAAAAAAAAGTTGCTTTCTACTCTCTAAAGCATGCTACTCAGGTCTAGACAGATTGACACCTCTAAGCCTTATTCTACCCACTACTGTGTAACCCCAACAGCTTGGATTAGAACTTCCAATAACCAAAACCAGTATTTTTGAGCTGCAAAGTTTTCAGACATTTTAAATGCACAAGTGATGTACCAGATCAAAAATAAAACTTGCTGCATATGAGTAATACGGCTAATATATTTATCCCTAGGCAAGTTAAATTGCACATTTTTGATTGTAGCTCTTCCTTCCAAACAGGTTGTTTCTGATTTGGAACACACTGACAAAATTCTGTGCATCAAAGGTCAAGTAACAGAACACATTTCCCAATAAATGCTAGTATTTAACAACAAGGTCATTTTTTTTCCTAGGCCAAATACTATAGAAACAGGCTAAAGGCAAAGCAGTAATTGAACAAGATCTCCATATATGGATCAGAAGTTCAGTTAGATTTTAATAGAGTTGTGATAGTATCAGGGGGTCTTTTCTTTAAGGTTAACAATAGCCCCAGTTAGTAACTTCAAGGTAATTACCTAACAGCAACTGGGCCTTTCACTTTCAAAGCTATACTTCCAAAAGCTGCCGAGTGGCTCCTGGCTTTGCATAACCACGTAAGTCATAAGCAAATGCAATTTTCTTAATATAACTATCTGACATAAATATCCATGCTGAAGTCAGCATAAAGGTGGCTTACTTATCCTAGCAATGCTTTTTACAGCAGAAGCTTAAGTACATTCATTTGATATCAGAACAGAAAAATCAAAGCTCTTTCTGTAGTGCTGGAAAACTACTAGATTTCATGATTTCTACTGACATTGTTTCATGTGCACATTGAGACCCAGTGCATCGCAGCTCATCATTTCTGTACTGACCAAGTTCTAAATTAGACCATAACAAATTCTGAAAACAATGCGCAGAAAACAGGCCAAAAAGGTTCATTAGTTTTCTCAGCAAGTTGGACTAAGAGGGGAAAGGAAAAAAGGATGATAATCTGCACATGAAACAAGGAGTAAATTCTAATGAAGTTCCTCCCCTTTCAGCGACCCATTTTATTCAAGGGGATTGCTCCCAAAGAAAGGTACACCTCATCAAGAAGATTTCTGCAGACTAGCGGAAAAAAACAAACAATTTTTGTAACATTACTCCTGGAATTTTCTTAGAAAAACCACTGAATGCAGAGTCTTCCACATCAGTAGATGCATAAAGCTTGCCAACAACAGATCCAAGTACAAGCTTCACCTTCAAATTCGAGCCACACATAGTCTGGCTGATGTAGTATGCTCTACTTGAAGTCTTAGGGAAGGTAAGGCTAAATAAAAGTTCCAATTAATTTTCCATAGTTGGTTAGACACATTTACAACAGTAATAACAATGCTTCCTATGTAGAGAGAACAAGCAGTAATTTACACTTAACTAATACCTACCCACCCCCTCTGAGGTTGCACAGTTACTTCATCAATGACTACAGCTGAACCCTTTCCTACAGGGCCCAAATTCAGGCTTAACCACAATAAAACTCATAGTCCTTAGATATAATGCACAGACAAACTCATTCTACTTTGCTTACGGGAGTAAATAAAGCGAGAAGAAATTAGATACATCTTAAAAAGATTATTATGAGCACTATCTTATACCAACAAGTTGGCCAATTTGGGTGATAAGAGCGTTAGCACAAGACTCCTGAAAGAAATGTGCTATGAGGCTGAAAGGATGCTTATCCACCAGGCCTCCCAGACTAAGACAGCAGTC